CAGCCTCACCCTTCTCTCAAAGAGCAGCTAGTGGGTCAGAGGCACCTGATGAGTTTCCATGGTCAACCTTGAGGTTAGCAAGAGAACGCCTAACCCACAGCTCTACCAGGGGTCCTTATAATCTCTAATTCGTTGTTGGTAGACGCTGTCGAGGCAGCTCTGATTTGGGTTGACTACACGTGGACAACAAATCCAACCCTGGTCCCGTGCCACTCTCACGACGGCCATGTTACACCCACTGTGTCCATCCATTTCTCGGACGGCTTCTTTCTCACCGAGCCGCTGCGGCATTGAGCAGGATGGCCTCTGCAGACTAGTCTCTCCTGAGCACACGTCTGCAGCAGGTGAGAGAAAGTCCTTTATTAGCCTTGCTTCTAACGAGCATCTTGGGCATGCTTCTGAGCCAGGTGTGTTTGTTCTTTATGGCAGTCTACTTGAATAATCACTCAAATGCATCAGTTCTTCTTTGGACTTCCTTTTTCACTGTCCCACTTTCAGATGCACATGAGGCGACTGAAAGCGCCACGGCTTGGGTCGGTGCTCTTCAGTCCTCAAGGTGAGATCCTTGCTCTTCAACACTTTAAAAAGGTCTGTGCGCAGCTATCAAAGATAAGTATCAGCTAAGCCCACACAGAAGAAGCACACCAGCCCTCCTGACTCAAGGATTGGAAGTTCAAGACCAGAGGAAGGAATTATGAAAGAGCTTAAATTCTGAGCAGCTAGTGTGCAGAAGGCTATGGATGCCTGTGCAAGCCCCACATCCACCGGCAGAGCCCCTATGTAAAGTAAGGCTCCACTGAATTCCCTGGGACCTTTGACCAGATATGTGAACAGTTTTGTTCTCACACAGAGAGCATTGGAAAATGAATTATTACAGTTATTATTAGCTTAAAATTTAACATCGTACCATTTGTTTTCCCTTTTGATCCATTTTTAACTTGATCGAGTTTTTGTTATTTTCTGTTTTCCTTTGGGTTGAAATTTACCTGTGTTTTATTTTGCTGTTGCTGACAGTCTTTGGGGTATGATCTCCTTGAGATGAACTCCCGGACAGGTAAACCTATAGAGGCAGTAACTAGAGCAAAAGTTCCTTAGATTGACAACATGGAAGGTTCGGGGGAAATGGGGAGCTAGTAATACAGGGTAAAATAATGAAGACAATGATCTAAAACGTATTGTAGTTAAAACTGCACAACTCTTTACAAGATATTTAAACTGTTGAATTTTATCATACAAGAAGTATATGTCCAAAAGAAAATGCTTAAGAACTAAAACCAAATGAAGGATTCTTTTGTAGCAGGCCGGCCCAATGTAACATGGAGTTTGATTTCCTGATCACTGCTCCCTTGACTGTGGATCTAAGCCAAATTAAAATCTTTTAAAATTGTTTTCAAAATTCTAGAGTAAATTCTTGACATGATGTGTTCTCTACGCCTCATGATGCCGTCCAGCTGTGAGGGCTCGGGTCGTCTCTGCAGTGAGTTCCGATCTGTACTGAAGGCTGCAGTCTTCGCTGTTCATCAACAAGTGCTGCACGTCTCCCTCAATTTCAGCAGCAAGGTTGTGTAGTCCACATATCGCAGGTTGTTAATAAGCCTGCCTCCAATC